CTTCGGGGGTCCATCGTGACGGATGCGGCGGCAACAGGGCCGGCTGACGTCAAACGCTCTGTGGGCTTGGGCCCCTCCTCTTCGCGAGCCCCCGGCTGTTTGGCCACGCACAGCTGCCGCCCATGCATCTCGCAGTTGCCAAGTCTGTGGAGGACACGTGCCACGGCACCGGCGCCGTCTTGGATGAGTGTCTTTTGGGCGCCTCAGTGCAGGGCCTGACACCACAGCCGCCGGGCGCAGCTGTGCAAATGCGCTTGGGCGGCCTCAGAGGTGCGATTGGGGGTCGGGTGCCACAAGGAGCCTGCGTCACGGGCTGGCCTCCCTTTTTTTTTGTTGGGGAACCTAAAAGCAAACAGGCTACCCGCCCGCACCGCCCCCGCCTCTGGTTGAGGGGAGCCACGCCGCTGGGAGGTCTGCCGTTGCTGCGTGGTACCTTGTGAAGGCCATTCACGAGGCGCTGGTTTTCCTTGGCGTGCATGCCAATGCCTCAATGCGTGCAGGTCCAACACTGCGCCAGGGGTTGACATTTGCCAACGGCGTTCACCTGAAATTTGACGGCTCTGCTGCTTTGAAGGATTCATTGGAAAAGGTGGAGGGGCTGTTTCCCCTGGTGGGGCTTCGGGAGGACTTTGGTGGCACAACCCAGCACACGCCGGTTGCTGAAGAGGGCTTTACTGGAGCTCAGCTTCCCGCAAACCCTCAACCTCACTGCAGAAGTCGTGCGTAACGGTTTCAGGTGCGACAAGCACGGTGAGGATTGCAGTGTGCCGATTTCCATCGGTGTCACAGTCCAACATCTCCGTGTCGATTAGCCTTGCTGAGTGTGTGCAGTCGCATCGTGACAAATAACCTGGCCCCGCTTTTGGCACAATTTTTGGCTAGAATGCTCGGACACACACGATGAGCTGTGGGGCTGTTCAAGATTCCCGCGCGTGCCTTCCGGATGTTGGGAAAATTGAGTATTCAACTCCAGCCTCAACGCCGCCTTTTGGCGGGCGTGATTGCTGTGGGTGCTGCCGCTTATTTTGGCAGCCGTCGCCGCCAGGAGTCTATCGGCGTTAGCGTCGAAATGTGGTAGCTACACGCGAAGGTGACCCCGTATCAATTGAGGCGTGCGCTAGTGGGAGGCGCTGCCTTGACGACTCTGACTGTTCTCGCAGCCTTCGGCTTTTACTTGGTCCAGCGCCACGACTGCGGTCGGTTTGTTTGTTTGTTTGGGAGAAGCTTTTCCATCAATGAGTTTCCCACTCATGGACTCAGCACACACAAAGTAGTGTATTTTGCGGGCGTGTACGTGTTTGCGGTTCCTGTTTTTGTTTTTGTTTTCGGCGGTGTGCGTCTTTGCATCACGCCGCCGGTCACAGTTGTAATGCACGCTATTCCCGCAAAAACCCGGCCTGGGGATCTTGGGGCCGATTGGCTGCTTTGGCAAATTCTCGTTCCTCGATTCCTGCGGGGCGTGCTCCTTGTGGGGTCAGGGTTGCTGCTGGAAGGCGTTGCCTCGGCGGCAATGCGTGCTGGAGTTTACTTCTTGCGGCGACGGCACTTTTCATTTTTATTCGCGATGACGCGACCACTGTCTGGCGCCGCGACATGCCACTTCGCAAAAAACGCGGCGTCAAAGGGGCCAGTTGCCTGCGATGTGCCCAAGGCACAGCCCAATGGGAGGGCGCGAAGAAGGCACGCGAAGGAATTGGTGGGCCGTGCCGTGGAGTGAGGACGTGCCTTTGCGATGGGGCAACACCGCACATTTGTCTTTGCGTGTGTCAGTCTCTCTGCTGGGTGGTTCCTTGTGCTCGGTGCACCGTGAAAGGGAGTGGCTTCGGCAGCTGTGCCGGAAGACCGTTCGATGACTCTTTGGGAGATCAGTGTCGCAAACATATTTTTCCTCATCGTCGTCTGTGTTTTCGTCATGCTGATCGCTGCGGTGCCTTTTGCTCGCGTCACGGTCTGCGGCTGGCGCGCTTCTTCTGGCGTGTGTGTGTGTGTGTCGCTGGCCCATTTCAAATTGAACAGTTTGCACGATGCATGCTCGGCGACAAAGTGAGGGGCATTTA